AAATTGTAGATATTGGTTCATTATTAAATGTTGACTCAAATTATTCTGTAAAGAAGGAGGCATGAAAGATGTTGGAGAGAAGGGAGATATGTAATGAACTGTGGACCCTAGAAAAGCAAGAGGTAATGGGATAGAACAAGAATGGACTGGCTTTTTCCAAAAGCGGGGAAGAAGACCAGCCCCAGTGCAAACAGGTTTGCGGTGTTTCTGGGACTGCTGAGTGTCTTTTTGAGGTTGGCAATCATGAACGAATAATGACGGTAACCTGCTACGTTATAAATTCCTATTCACTTATTCTTGGCATATTTGTAGAATGCCTACTATAGACCTGTTCTGAACCACTTACGACCAAAGGAATGGCCAGGTCAGCTACTCAAGGCTTTCAGGAACATCTCTTTGATGATTTTTTTCTGAATGGGCTTGGGAGAAAGATTATTTTAGTAATGTTTACTTGAAAGTCACCATATATACCATATTGAGAAATTACCCTTTTTAACTTTTCATTTCAAATGATCCCCAATTATACTTCCAGAGCCAGTTCCTGAGAGGAGCACTAGTCAGAGTTATTGCTTGAGTGGTACAATACCAGGGAAATTTAGGAAGAGCACTCCTGAAAATGTGATTTTTAAGAAATCACAGTAGAATTATGAAGTATTTAGAACCAATGGCAATGACGACACTCTTTTGGAAACCTGTGGGCTATAGATAAAGTAATTTCCTTGAAGGGAAATCTATACCCCTAAATTTAGGTTAGAAAATAAGAAAGGCTGGAAATTAATGTGTTAGGTATGTAACTTGGAAAGCTTTTTTTTAAAGAGTAGCATGTTAAATTCAATGAAAATGTCAGAGATTAATAAAGATAAACACAGAAATTAAATAAACATACATATATTTAAAGAGAAGTATGGTCAACAAAAGCTGCCCATTTGAAGACTGTAAACAAACATTTATAAGTTTGTCTAAAAATATAGAAAACCTTTATTAAGACAAAGTGGAGAATTGACAAGTATAGACCAGGAATGAAAAAAAATATTACATGCCTACAGATACTGTGTGAAATTTTAGAATAAAAGAATATGAACTATATATCGAACATTTAAATGTTAAAATATATCTAATTTTTAAGAAAATTGTGAATTACCAAAGTGGATTGAAGAAAAATTAGAGAAATAGAGTTAAGTTTTCAAAATATGATGGCTCCACAGTGGAAATTTATCAGACATTCAAGAAAATAATATAATAACCTATCTCATAAAACTATCACAGAATATAGAAAATGAAGGAAATTTCCAAATGCCTTTTATGAAGGCAGCAAAACCCAACACCAAATATGGACAAGAACACTGCAAGAAATGTAAATTATAAGCCAATGACACTTATGAACAAGATGCTAATTTTTTTTTAAATCACAAGTTATATGAAGCACTATATTAAAAAATAATAGTACCGTATGACAAAACAGGATTACATTGGAATTCAACATCAAGTCCACATTAGACAAAATCCATCAATGTGACCTGTTACATTAATATATAAAAGACAAAATCTATAATCATCTCTGTGTTTTAGAAAAAGTAGCACAATTTCAGTATTTATTTTATGGTTTAAAATATTACTACTTTAAACACAACTGCAATAGAAGGTCACCACCCTAACTTGATAAAGAGTTTTTACCAAAAACTCAAAACAAATATGATAAATAATGATGACACATTAGAAACATTTTTTTCCTATTTCTATGCAATAGAAATAGGAAAACTAAGCTTGCTGTCACCCTTCTGTGGGAAGTCCTAGCCCATCCAAAGAAGAAAGAGGTATCAAGAATGTTAGTTATAGATAATATGATTATCTATGTGAAAATATACAGGGACCTGCAAATAAACTATTTCATAAGAATATTCAGCATGTTTGCCTTTAAAACAAAATCATTCCAAAATCTATAGCATTTCCAAACAGTAGTAATAACCACTATTCTAAAAAAATTTTAAATCCCACTTGTACTAGCAACAAAAGCCATAACAGACCTGGCAGGATACCTAGCAAATAAACACAAGCACTTTATAGACATATTATAAAATGTTATTAAAAGATATTTAAAAATCAGAATAATATTCAGGCATTGGATTACCTAATTTTATAAAGATGTCACAGCTCACCAAATTTAACCTGTAAATTTAACTCAACAAAATACCCCCATATTTTTTTCATTAAGGAGCCTGACAGATTGATGTTAAAGTCATATAGAGGACTTTATATAGAAGATTAAAAGTCTTCTTCTCATATAGAAGACTAAAAGTCCAAAAATAGGTGGCACAATTTTAAAAATGAACAAAGAGGGGGCCATGCCCTTTTACACATCAAGCCTTATTATGAAGCCACAGTAATTCATTAAGAGTGTGTTACTGGCTCAGAATTGCTTTGATCTATGAGAAAGGACAAGCTAGGAACATATTTATGAATATATGGAAATTTAATTTACAATCATGGTAGCATTACACACTAATAGGGATATAAAGACAGTTCTGTAAATCAGGTCATGACAGCTTTGCTATATTAGGGGTGAGGGGAAAAGTAAAATGTAACTCCTGCTTTATATCATTCAAAAAGATAAGCCACAGATAGATGGATTTTATCTGTGAAAAACAAAACTTTAAAAATATTAAGGTAAAAGACATAATAGGATACCTTCACACATCAGGTGTGAAGTCCCCTTAATAATACACAAATGGCACAAACTTTAAAATAGAAAGAAGAGTGACTATCACTGCAGTTTTAATTTTCTACAGTACAAAAGACATCAAAAGTTAAAAGACAAGCTATAGACTGAGACAGTATGTTGAATGTTTATATACACAAACTCCTATAAATCAAGAGAATAAAAGATAAAAACACACAGCCTATTGGAAAATGAATGAACACTGAAAAAACAAATCACAAACTCAGAAAAACTTCAACAGCCAATAAATATATGCAGCACTCAACCTCACTGGCAGTGAGGGAAATTCAAATAAAACAACAAGACACTGGGTTCTTTAAAAATCAAACTGGCAGAAATAAGAAAAGTCTGAATTGAGAAAGTATTTAATGTCATGTTAGGGAAATAAGAACTCTTGTACATTGCTGAGGGGTGTACAAATTGGAAAACAATTTGGCAGTTGTTAGTAAAACTGAAAATGTGTGTGCAGCCTAGCAATTTCCTATCTAGGTAGATACACAGAGAGATTCTTACAAAGGTGCTAGGAAAACATGTATAAGCAATAGCAAAATATTGGCAGCAACTTAAATATTCATCAATAGGGACATGAATAAACAAGGCACATTCATATGCATGGATCAACAATATGGAGATTAAAATGAATGAACTGGGTCTGTATTTATCAACATGAAGAGAAAAAATAAAATACCATGAAGGGAGAAAAAAAACATATCACAGAATGATACCTACAGTCTAACATGACATGTGTATATTTTAAAATCATTCAAAGCAATATTCCACGGGAGTTCACATGCAGGGAAAGTGTAAAACCTAGATTGGAAAGTTACATACCAAATTCGTGATCGTGTTTGCCTTTCAGGAAAAGAGGGGGTGGAGAATGTGTTGCACAGAATGCAAAGGGGGCTTCAATTTTATCGGAAATGTTGAATCATTTGATTTTTAAAAAGTAGATCTGATGTAGATATGACAAACTGTAACATTCCTTAATTATATGAGACTGGTACATGGGTGCTTACATGTTCTCTGTATTTTAAAATATCTTTACATTTTTTTCTAAATATAAAATTAAAAGAAAAACAGTAAAGAATTCCGTCTTGCAGATTTTAATGTGTAGACTGTGAATCATTTGAAATTTAGAGGTAAGTAACTTTGGCAAAAATTATCAGGTTTAAAATGCAATCTCCTCAATAATAATAAAGCTGACAATATTATTTTAAAACTACTGAAATGAATAAAATAGATTCTATAGGCATCTACCTGGATAAGTCTCAAAATCACCTTGAGGAAGAAAAGCAGGGTGTAAAATGATATGTACACTACTGTATCATTTCTGAAAAAAATTTAAATAGATAGTCATGGCTAGATATATATTTATACAGATAGGTCACTGACTAATGAAAGTATAATAACAAATGCTGCTGGAATATACATTTACAACACTGATTACCTCGGGAAGTTAAGCAGGGAGAAAGGTGAATGGGACTGGAAGGAAAGTAAAGTAACTGTCACGTTTAACATAAATAAAAACCCTGAAGCAAATATGGCAAAAACACCACATTTGATTAGTCTAGTCAGTAAACACATGAACGTATGCTACTCTTGTTGCATCTGTATTTTTTTAATTTTTAGAAGAAAATGAAATTACAAATAAAATGCACATGATTCATTATAAAGGTAAGGCTTGTGTACATCCACAACCGTGATGTCTATTTTTTAGAATTGTCCTGTTTGTTTTCTACGTGCTTTAAATTTTTCTTAGAAAGAGCAAAATGAAAGCAACGAAGACATGTAAAAGAAATTACTCACATACTTGATTATAGAAAAGAAAAACCTCCACGGTCATAAGCACCATATGAGCATTCTGTAGCCACGGCTGCATTTTCTTATTTTTAATTTTTGTCAAAAGAAAAATAGAAGATGCTGCCTAATTGAAAACGTGACTTTCTATTATTGAAATTGTGGGAGTCCATTTTAATGTGTTTATCTCGCTGCCAGTCTATAATTTATATTTCAGCGTGGAAATTTGTTTGCATGCCTGTGACAGGTTAATGCAGTTTAAACACGCATTTTTCTTTCGTTGGTTGAATAGTTACATCGTTACTCAAAGGATTTTAAGTTTCAATTTCAACCGTGAGAGGCTTCTTTGCTTTTCCAAGGTTAAAAATGTTTCTGGTTCAAAACGCTATTAATTAATGGCTACGCAGTGGATCTATTTAGGGAACGGCTACCGACCCCGGATTAGCAGTCGAACTGCTAAATGAGAAAACTTTTTTTTCTGATGCAGACTTGGGGATATTTTCAATTTGGTCTGCAAGCGCAGAACGGGAGCGAAACGTAACGCCAGACCACTTAGCTAACGATCGCAATTATGAATCGAAAGACAAGTCAGGTATTAGCAATTTTTTTTCCTTAAAAAAAAAGTTTCCCGGACTCCGCGGGACACCCAGCTGGCGCAGGACCAGCGGGCGCGGGGGGGCGAGGCCGGCAGGCTGCCCAGAAGTTCCGACCGGGGAGTTTTCGCTTTAAGAAAATTACCTGGCTCGCCAGCAGAAGAAAGCGCGCGGAGACAAGATAATTTCTTAGGCTGTTAACAATGACTTAGCCCGGCGGCCGCGCGTTCCGGG